TCTATTATTATTATTATTATTATTATTATTATTATTATTATTATTTTGAGAGATATTTTTTGCTATAGGGCACATGCACTCACGGGAGAGACAAAGAGAGACAGAAAGTGAGAAATCACCCCCCCCCCAAAGGGTATGGTCACTCTGCAATCCTTCCACTTGCCTCTTGGGATTTGGGCCACACAGACACACTTACCTGACAAAAGTTTTAAGCTGCTGGGTCTGTGATTCAAACCACAGTCAACTTCATGGGAATCCAGTGACTTCACCATTATTCCACTTCCATGTGGACTTGATACACTTAGTTAAAAGGAATAATAAAGACAGAATTGTGAAAATGACATGGTTTTCAGGTACTTTTCTGATCTATTATATTGATATATTCTCTTGGGTTTCCATAATATTATATTTAGTATAATCAAATGATTTTGCTAATTTAGAAAACATTTGGAATTGTTGCCCAACCTACAAGTAGTAGCTGTATTTCTGCAGCATAAACTAATAAATAAAGCATGTCTTTGCCCTTTAGAAGTTCACAGGTCAAGTAGACAGAAGAGTGGTTGAAAAATAAATGTTTTGCACAGTAACACTGAATGATAGAAGGAAGTTTAAAGACATAATTCATGCCATTGAGGACATTATCTGAGTTTACACTCATCTACAGTTAAAGACAGTTTCAAGTTTAGGCAGAGAAGGACATATGTAATAAACACATGTGAAAAGCAGAGGCAGAGAGTATGGACTGATGGTCTGTTCTATGTGATACTTTTTAGAACTGGCATGTAAGATGAGGAGACAAAGGCAGGTGTAGGCCTGATTATCAAAGCAGCAAGAATCTAGTTTATGGAAAATACCTAGTTGTATTTTCGCAGCATTTTTAGTACCAGGAGAACAAGTGAGAGTATTGTGAAGATCAGATACTGGTGCCAAAAGACCAGGAAACTAGTATTAGTCTGTCCTTTTTGAGGCTTTGTCTTATCCTAGAAAGAAATTTGCAAACCCTAATATCACACTAAGTAAATGAAAGCTCTTGGGAAAAGAAGTGCATTCAGCTCTGAATGCTGAACTTTGGAGTAGCAATGTAATAGAAAGATAGACATTTTCCAGCTGCAGTAATTTTGAATTAATATTTTGACAAAGCAAAAATTGCACTGGAAAATAATAGACAATTAAGCAAGACTTTAATCAGGCTACTGTGGTAAGTGAGAGAGAACAGAACTAAGCCTAAAACTAATATTGCTGAAATAACGGATGGGAAGGATTTAGGTACTGGAGTGCGAGAGAGAACACAGGCCACCTGTGTTCCCTAGCTGATCTCACTGAAGGGAAAGGAAACACTTATTTTATTTTATGTTTTAGTTTTTGCTATGGGTTACATGTGCTTACTGGAGAGAGACTCAAGGAGAGGAAAAGTGAGAAAGTATACCTGTGGAGAATGGCCACATCACAATCCCTTCTCCTCCATTCTCTCTGGATTTGGGGCCTGCGTGCACATGCACCTGACATGTTTTTCAAGTCACCAGGTCCAGGCTCAAATTGTGCAGTTGGCCGTGTGGGATCAGGCTGCCTTACTCACTACTCATCCAGCTGGACCAACACTCTCAATATTTTTGTGACAGGGTAATTTAAAATGTGGAGAAATGTCTCCACCTATATTAGTCTCCTACCTACCCACAGAAATTGAGAGGTAGGAGAGCTATACGCCCTAATGTTGACATCTTAAATATATGGCTTTCAGGTCTTGGGGAATAAAACAGTACTCAGTTGTAGAACTGACAAGGAGGTTATTAAAAAGCATATCTCAAAGGAGTATAGAAAACAATTATACTTTTTTTTGGTTAATTATCTTTTTAAATAGGAAAAGGCAGGATTTTTCTTTAAATAAATTTTAAATGTTGGACCATGGCATTAAGTACCTTTCCTTTTCCACAAAATGGACTTCAATGAGTATGCCTATCAAACGAGAATAGATGTGACAATTCACAAATAGAAATGGATGTCAGTAAAAACTGAGCAGCTATCTCAAGTATGTTTTTAATAGACATTTTTAAGTTTTCTAAGTTCACACTCTACTAAAAGAGGTTGAGGGATAGTCAGGAAGAAGTCTTTCTGAAGTTTATTCAACTTGAGTGGATTATCAAGATCATTTTGGTTAATTGCAATTTGCATGCAACCTGAAACAGCAATATAAAGGAATATTCACCTCTGAGCTAAGAAGGCATAAACAAAACCACGTTATTGTTTCCTAGAATGGGAAGAATTATGAAGCTAACATTTTAGGGACTCTTTCGACAATGAAAAGACATAGATTGCAGTCTCTGTGGTCTGGCAGGCTTGTATTTCCCATGTGCAAAAGTAGGTCAAAAGACACTCAGCTTCCTGCTGCACGGAGCCGGAAGGTGTTTTCAAAGCTCCCTGCTGAATATAATGACCCAGATTTGACTCTGTTCATGAGGGCAGGCAAGATGCAAAGCTGTCTCTCAAATGTCACAGCTACCATGGCCAATATGCATATCTCCCTGGTGGTAAATAAATTTCTAATTGTGAGTTGACAAGAAAGGGCTAGATGAATAAATAATTATTTGGTATTATCGGGAAGTTGTAGATAGGACATAATCACCTGCCTTGCTACCTCCCATGTAACACGGTGTGACAATAGAAGAGATCAAGCGAGCAATTGTGCAGAAGAGAAGAATGAGAGGTATTTCAGTATGTACGTCTATTGAGTCGCTAGCTAGCTAACAGATCTCTAGGACTTTTCTTTGAAAAAGGCTAAAACTAAATCCATCCTAGCAAGGAGAAAAACTATGAATGAATGAACAGAAATATTTGTAAAGAATTAGCCCTCTGAGTATATTTTCTTGAATTTTAAGATCTGAGAGGGTTTGGAGAAATTAAAGAAGATAAACTTGGTCAAGAATTGATAGTTACTGTCAATTTTGTAGAATCAGTGTGTTCAACAGAGGTAGGACAAAGTGTTTTAATGTGATTTAAACAGATAAAATGTTTTAAGAATGCTAGAAAGTCTCTAAGATTTGAAAGAATCATATGTGGCTAATTTATTTCATTAGAAATTATAGAAAGGAATAGGTAGGTAAAGCACTGTAGAATAAATGTTCAAAGTAAATGTTAATGATTGCAGTTTACTTTTTGATTTAAAGAAAACACAATCATCATTTAAAGAATTCATGTAGTAAACATGTGTACATAACATGACACGAGAAACACTCT